TCTACCATCCATGAGCATTTGCTGGCAATTGGCAAGACGAACAGGTGCGGAAAATGGGTGCCGCACCAACTGAGCGACGCAAATCAGGCAACACAAGTGGCGATGGCCGGAATTCTACTTCATCGCTCCAAGAATAGCGGTTTTTTCAACTCTATTATTACATCAGACGGGAAATGGATCTGCTTCGACAACACAACACGAAAAAGGCAGTGGTTAGACGCCGGTGACACTTCAAAACCCACTCCGAAACCCGATATACATGGCAGAAATGTGATGCTCTGTGTTTGGTGGAACAGCAAAGGTTTAGTGTACTGTGAAGTCCTGGATTCGGGTCAAACGGTTACGGCGGACAGTTACGAAGACCAATTAAACCGCGCAGATCAAGCACTGCGCCGTCAAGGTGCCGAAACGACGTCGACAAAAGTCCTCCCCGACAACGCTCGTCCACATGTTGCGAAAACCACCTTGGAAAAAAATTGAGGAATAGGGGTTGGGAAATCCTGCCTCATCCGCCTCACAGCCCAGACCTGACTCCATCCGATGACCATCTGTTCCGGTCACTGCACCACTCCTTGGCCGAGAGAAAATTCAAAAACCGCGAAAAAGTCCAACTCAGGGTGTCCAACTACTTTGAATCACAGCCGGCCGAGTTCTGCAGGAGAGGAATCCATTCTTTGCGGAAACGTAGGCAACAAGTTATTGATAGTAATGGAGAATATCTTTTGAATTGATCTTGTTTAGTTTCGTTTATATAATAAAAAATTTTTTGAACTCAAACGCGCATTCCTTTCCGAACAACCTCATATATTTCAAAATATATATGCACCGTCATTATCGACAACACATTGCCATTTATCAGGCAACTTGTGGATCCTACTTGCATAGAATTCTTGAGGTTTCGAGGAGAAGAACTCGCCAAGGGTTTGACTGCGACAGGAGCAGGTGATAATCCGTTCGAGCCAGGTCTGGTGAATACGGTGGGTAGGCCAGATAATACCATCCCAAGCTTTGAAGTTTCTTCTGGGCCTCCTTCGAAATGCGTGGGCGCTTTAAAGCGATCCCCAAAGATTTCACAGCATGAAAACAAAAATGTGGAAAGACTTCTCCGCTAACCTAATAATTGTGTTACGGCTGTGCTAGTTAATTCGAATATGCTTACGGTACATAAATTTGGTGACATCTGTGAATGTTCACTTGCTAATGGCTGAACATGTGAAGTGGCCTACAAGCTGCGATGAAATTGTTTTAACTCGGATAAACTGCTAGGAAATTTGAAAAAACTGCTGAGGAGAAGTGACAAGACAACAATATTCCATCAGTTGAGATTTATTGTAGGAAAAGAAGAAGCTGAAGGCGGCGTTGAAACAGATACGAGATCGAGAGAAGTGTCAAAGTGAGCTCACCGATGTGCAGCAACAGTCAGTGACTGAAATGCGACAGAATGCGGTCCTTCTTGAATCTCTTCAAACTGCTCCGCAGCCGCTTCCAGCAGCAGAGCTTCAGCAAGCACCTGAAGTCGATGTCGACCATCTCAGATTAGCGCTCAAAGTGGGTACTCTACCTTGACTTTCAGAGCAGACTTTCTCCCATCACGTCACCATCCCTCTTACTGTCTTTGGTTGTTTTAGGAGCTGGAGCTCGAAAATCGTCTTTCACGAGAACTGAATACAGAATATAGTCATACAATGCTCGAGATGGAGAAGGAAGTGATTGGATTGAAGGTAATACGATCATTTCCCTGTTTTTTATTGTTCGTCTCTGATCTGCTCTACCCCAGGCTCAAATCACCTCACTACGTGGGGAATCCGAGCATTTTGAGATGGAGTTGAAGTTGCACGAAATGCTCGAGGAGGAGCTGGAAAGGGAACTGTCGGATGTCAGATCAAAGAACCGGGTACGTGTTTCATGCTTTAAGGTACGAGGTGACAAAATATACTTATCACATTTAGGAACTCACAGAGGCCATGCAAAGTCATGAGGAGTCTCAAGAGCGGTTTAGTGAAAGAGTGTCTTGTGACGCAGTTAAGAACAATGAGCGTTTGAACGGTAGGTTTCGCTGTTATAATTAAGCTCCATCTCTTGGAATGAGAGTGTAAGAAAGAATTGAGAAGGGGGAGAATTTCTGCCCTTTCTCACCTATGGCATGTTGTTATCGGAAACAATCAGGCAGTCCTCAGTTTGTTGCCAGCAGATGCTTGATTGGTAAAGGAAGTCTTCGTTTCGGTAAAGGCTTTTAAGAGGTGAGAAAGGAGATTGTTTGGGGAATCTTAGCGATTATTAGACGGGATAAGTGCCTTCATGATTATCTTTTATATCTCCATCCTTCCTATACGAAGTTAAAAGCACAGTTCACGATAATTTTGAGGTACCCTTTTTAGGTTGAAAAGCGGGAGTATTGACGTAGGGGAGTACATCGGCGGCGAAGAAAGCGAGAAAATCCGCTTACTTTGAGCTTTTAAAAGTAGTGGAAGTGGAGGTTGTACGAGATTACTGTGACAGGAATGGCATGGGGTGTTTGGACGAGATTTAACTTGCTCCCACTGTGTAAAGAGATGAATATATCAAGCCGAAATTTTTTGGAACGGCCTCTCACTGTCGCCGTGGGTCGTGAAGAGTTGTTTGAACTTACTACATTGATTTCCTTGTGAATGGTACAGGCCTCTACAAAGCCGTTGAAGCTCGTCCACTGAGGGTGGGGCAATCACACGATATAATCTCTGATTTCTAATTGTGTCCGATCCAGAACGGTTTTCGCCCCTATAACAGCAGGTGTGGTATAAGGGAGAACCCCGAATTCATATTATAGGAAACATTTTTATCGTGAACTGTGCCTTTAAATGAGACCCTTTAGAGAAAACAAACCGATATTGCTCTCATCGTCTATAGCTATCCTAGAATGCATTCGAATTGCGAAGTTGTTTTCCTGCAGGTTTTGGTTTCATTTGCAATTTCAGAGCTCATCTCAGAAGTTCGTGACCTACGTGAACGGAACGCTATGTTGCAGCAACAGCTCAATGTCGCGACAGACAAAATTGCTGAGGAGGAAAATCTCCTAGCTGAGGAGCGAGAGCACTTCTCTGAAATAGACAAAGGTCCGCCTTATCTTCACAGAGCCATTAGTCGTGCTCTGTTTTTGCTTGGGTGAATGAATGGATTGCAGCACATTGCGAAGAAGTAAGAGAGCTGTCGATCACATTAGCCGACGCTCGCCGTACAATTTCGGATATGGAAGTGCGGTTGGCCGAGGCTGAGGGTAACTTCGCTCAGAGTCAAACCCTGATTGCCGATCTGACAAGTGCGCTAGACAAGAAATCGCTGGAATTTACACAACTTAATCGTGAACTCAGTCGAGTGCGAGAAGCCGACGTCGTTCAGGTATTTTCCGTTAGGTTTTCTTTCACTTACTTTTGAAGAATATCAATTCATAGATGGCAGCAGCAGCTCGACAAAAATGCTTGGATATGGTAAGGTTTTCTATATGGTTACAGATGTGTAAGGCAGCATGAGTATTCGAAGAGCTTATGAGTAATGCAAGAGTCTGACCTCAACTAATATTTGATTAAATGTTTGCTTTCCTGCAGAGATAATCGCTGGGAGAATATGAGATGACAGACTCTCGTCTTCATAAGTCGTTCAGGATTCCTTTTCTTGTGTCATTAACACTTACTGATCCATTCTTTTGCAGTAGCAATAGTCATCACAGTTTTACGACGAATCCGTCCCCTTCTGTGTTGTAATGTGCTTAACCTTCGGACAATCCTAAAACGAATCGATTTCCGGCTTGCACCCCCACCTTTCCTAAGGTCAACACGGCGTTACCATCAATTCGTGTTGTACTAGGACTGTAACAGAGACGAAAAGAAAATGGGCCTCGACTATCTGTGCACTCTTGTGCCGTTTTAACATCAGGGAAGTGTTTTTGAAATGAGTTTTTTTTTTAAATGAGCCTTAGTAGGGTGAGTGAGAAGATTGCCTCGCGGGGAAAGCTGGAATCTCGCCCACCCAGTCCTCCTTCCCTACTAAGGCTTATTGTTAATTGAAAATTGCATGTCCCTGAGGTAATGCGGATATCACAAAACACCGGGTGAATTCTTTGTTATACCAATGCTTTTATTTGCCCCACCCCTTTACCAACATTCCCACCGAATTGAAGAATTTCAATTGCGGACCTGTCGCTGAGAAGACTGTAAATCATGCATAAGTCGATGAAGGTTCGCCTGAACTGAAGAGAAGGAATATCGTAATATTTGTTCCATATTTTGGTCTTTGGTATTTTTAAAGATCTGTTAGTTTCTTGTAAATCCGCCTGCGATGTGGAGGAAAACCGGGCTCATCGTTGTATGGGAACCCTTAGTGCTTGATCCCATTGCCCTTGGATATCTGCTCCTCACTCATAAAATAGGTAAACGTGCTTGCTGGATCCAGTGCATTTTGAAAATGTCGCGAGTGACATGGGAATCTGCTAATCAGTGGACCACTGCACAAAGGTACATATAGGGGCCTGTGAAGGGTAGGCATCGTTCTAGGATTACATCCCTTCATTGTCGACGTACTACTTACACACAACATCATCGTTGAGTTGATACCCTGCCTGTTGCGGGAAACTTATCCAGTAATCAATGCTCTGAGTCTATTCTTATTTTTTGCATCCATGGAGATTAGGAGCACATTGAATAACTGTGTCTGGTAATGGTGTCATCATCACTGACGAGATCAATATGTACCACTTGAAACCTCGGTTGACTGATCAATTGGCTCAGTAACAGGAAAATGGGTGCACCAGTTATTTTGGGACTTTGGGCTGAATATCTTGTGCCCATCTAATTCTGGGAACTTCCCCACACAAATTGTGTGGTCTTGAAGAAATCATGAGTGTGACATTGTATGATGAACTGGTGAACAGATATTAATTTATTTATCTAAAGTCTCCTTCCATAATCATGGTTTGGCAAAGGTCCAACTGCTTTTCGAAAATTCATGCTGCTTTCACATTGGTTTGCAATGTTGTGTATTCTAATACAGTCCTGCCATATAAACTAATCTAAAGTGCGAAGTGTTCCTTTCAATATCTGTGTTTGATTGTCTCACCCTATTTTTTGACTCCTCTCGAGTGAAACTGAGAAACTAATTCTGTTTTTTTTATCGTCAAAAATTGAATACAAGTGGTATTAAGCAGACTGGTCTTCTACGGGCTCCCAACACCACCTCTGAACTTGTGGCCAACGTGCTTGTCGGCGAAACTGAAGCTGTTCGTCCAGACGCTAATCATGGCCTTGTTGTGAAATCAGCAGACAATAAGACTGGATCTGAGACATCGTCGACGGAAGAGCCAGCTTCATCCGAGGCTGATAATGGTACAGTCTGGAATCTTTTCAAGTGCTTCACTGAGACCTGAAATCTACCCAATCGTCTACTGAAGGTGTCGAAGCGAATGCTTTGCCGACTGGGAACGACCTGTTCGCTGAGAATTTGATTCTTCGACAATGTATACACGAGACGAGTCAGATGCAGAACGACCTTAGTCAGGTAGAATTCAGCAAGAGCTCTCATATTCCCCGATATATGATGCCTTCCAGGACGTTGAAAAGATGTGGCAGTTAAAAACGGAACTTGAGAATGCAGTCGAAGTCCTCAAAGGCGAAATTTGGTCCTTGAACAGCCAGTTGAAAGCGGTAAGTTCAGATGCCTTTGCTGTTGTTGGGAGGCTCGTTCAATTAAGCTGGTTTCAGTCTATCCTGGATCGAGAACAACTGCAGGATCGTGTGGTGCAATTGGATACGTCGCTGGAAGCAGAGAAGAAGAGAGCCGATGCTCTTGATTGTGAACTTTCCGAACAGGCAAGCCGCCTTGATTGGGAGCCATTTCAAATTTTGTTCTTGGACTGGACCTCCATCTACACCTACAATTATTCTGATTTCATTAAGTTTTTACAGACGGAGTTGACAGAAAAAGCGTCCCGACAGGCAGCAGAAGCTGAAAATGAAAGCAACCGTCGTTTGGCCGAATGTCTCGAGATGGAGACTCGAAGGTTTGATCCGATTTCTTTATGGTTCGGTAACAATACGAGAACTTTCGAGACCTGAAGAATAGGTATGGAATTGGACTTGCGGGGAGTGCAGACTAGGAGGGTTGAATCTGTCGCGTAATTCTGTGTTACAAAGCACTTGGTGACGATAACTCAAAACTCTGGAAACTTCCGATGCTGTGAGCTATCATGTTGGTGCCTTGTAGCAGAGCATTACGATATCACTAAAGAGCGGTGCTCAAGCTTGCTCTGGATCGACTTTCCTAATTGTGCACTGTCCCTTCTCTTGTTCCCTTCATTTGTGGTTTCTCCTATATATGGGTTAATATGGGCGGAGGAGGTTCAGTAGCAAATGGCCCATTTACCACACGCATGGTCAGGGGTGGGCTAACCAAACCCTCCATCCCAGCGGGTTTGGTTAATTGGTACCAGTTCCGTCTGGGAGGATGAAAGCACCATGAAAGCACTGACTTGTACATCGGCTGGCCTCCGCAAGTCATTATATAGGCCACATACGCATTCAATACGCTACTACGATTCCGAATGGAAGTGCGTGGGCGCATCCCTCACCTCAGACGTGATTGATTAACGCCCCAAGAATTTACACGACTTTTATCGGTTCATATATGTCGACCGCTGGAAAATTCTTCGCGCAGTGTTGCATATGAATGAAAGTGGTGTCGTGGGCTAGAAATGTCCAGAAATTAGTTTCTAGTGAAATCAGACCTCATTTTTCCGCATTGGTAGTCCACACCGCCACGTTTTAGCACTTTCGGTGAATAGAGACAGTGAGGATATTAAGTCATACCAGACAAAGTTTCCACCTGCAATGCTTTTTCGAAAAAGCTATTAAAATGCTCTTTTTTATAGGGAGCAAGTGGAGAAGGCATATGCTCAGCTCAGCGAATACTACAGTCAACTTCAGTCCGCTTACAATGTGATCTATGCAAAATTGAAGCAGATCGAGACGGAGAAAGCTCTAGCCGAAAGCGAACAACAGGTAAGCTGGCGTAAATTTGTTGGTTCATGCAATTAGCTCAATATCAAATAACCCAACCCGGAAACACTCCAAATCAGCATACACAGCCCGCACTTTCGAGTTGGATCCTTTCGGTGGGTTTCTGTTTCGGTAGCCTTTCAGGGAGAGGACGGAGAAATGGAGGCACGGCGTATCAAGCGAAAGGCGTAGATCACTACATTTTCTCTAATTATACCGCAGCTGCAATGGGGGCAGAACGAACGCGGCCATGGCCGACCAAATTGGAAGAATGCTGCGCCATCTTGGAGCTGTACGAATCACCTGTATCACCTGTCTCACTGATCAGCGATTTTCTCAATTGGGCACCACCCACAAATGTATCCATTCGTCCTTATCTCGAGCCAAGATTGTCCAGTGCATCGTCCCCCCCCCCCGANAGGAGCAAAGCATTCCTTTCACATTCCTTTCATACAGAGCTTTCGTGAAGTAGTCTGACCATGGCGCTGGCGGCCGTCCTGGCATTCGTTTGACGTCCCGAGAAATCGTGTGCCCTGGTCCAAGTGTGGGTCATAATATCGCATAACGTATCCGACCCACTTCTATACCTTGTAACCAGCAACTGCATCCCTGGTCCTCGTTGTTTGCGAAGCTCCGAAATCCTAGTTCGTCTTTTCATTTGCTTATATCGGGTGCTTCCTCATTTCTCTGGGGTCAATGACGCTGACTGCGTCGCTCATCCTCGTAGAATTCAAGTCTTTGAGACGTATGTCAAAGCAGGGCGAACTGCAATTTTGAAAAGGAGCGTGGAGCCGAGTGTTCCTTGTCCTATTCGCCACGCTCTCGATGTCTCATATGCCCCCTCTCGCCATAGGGACTAGTCCGTTTCTCATGAACATTCGCCTTCGTTAGATTACACGTATGGATTGGCATACGACTCAATGGTCGTGAAGCTATTGTAGAGCAAAAAACCATCCTTATTCATTGAGCAGGAACGCCCTTGTTGCCTAAGATATAAATTACCATTTCTGTCCCGACAGTGTCGAAAACCTTTTTCAAATCTTCTCTACAAAACGTCAAAAGTAACGGCATCTCGCAGTACTCCAGTGAAGCCGGTGATAGCCGGATGAGATGATGTGATGTAACCAATTTCCGAACCTCGTTTATTCGCTGAAATCAACAGAAAAGGAAAATCGACTCGTTTCCTGATTCTGGATTGTTAACCTTCTTTTCTACTCTATAGGGTGCTGCTTAGATTCAGAACTTTCAGTTTTTAAAATTCTGGTCAATCGTGGCACAGTTGTTTCACCACATGTTGTCGGGGTAATGTTGAGCTATCATCAATTTCCAATTTTCAACTATCAAATTTTCACAGTATCAGCGGATTGCATTTTTAACTGCAAAATGTCTCACACTTTAAGAAAATAGTTTCTCGAACCAAAAATGATCACAATAGATTTTTCAGCTAAAAAAAAATTCAGGCTGCTAGCTCTTCCACGCAAGACAAAAATGTAGAACATGTGGTGAATACAATGATATCCGTGAGTATTTTGAGTATTTGTGTATATATTGTAAGCGAAAAAGAATCGAGTTCAAAGAGAGGATTCAGGAGCTGCATCTGAATGTGGATGACGGTCTGAGTCTTCATGGAAAAGTCCTCTTGATTCAGAAAGTGTTGCGAGAGAAACTTGTTGAGGTAAGAACAGCTCTCCCTCAAAAGAAGATTGTGAAGGGTTGAGCTGTAAAATTGATATGCATTTGCTTTGTTATATTTACGTTTTGATTCCCTTCAAAGAGATGTTCCCTTGAAACCAGACGTCGCAAATGGGTGCCAACCCTATATAGAGAATGCTTTTTGGGGAATCTGTGTCGAGAGTGGAATCAAAAGGAAATTAATTAATCGCTATGTACGGCTATCTCTAAATCTCGGCATAGTGCAAAGGTTTGTTTCCTTTGCTTGAACTCGGGCGAGGTTGATAAGAAAACTTTATTCCGGCTTACATTTCGGCGTGGATCGCCTTCTTCAGAGCCTGGAACGATCGAAGCAATTTATGACTACCCGACCAAACGCCTCAACTACCCTTCAGGAGTTCAAGAAATTAAATGTTTCTCATTGTCCATTCCATTCGAATGCGTCACAATTGCTGATTTTATTTGCAATGATTCTAGAGCTTTTGAATCATTTAGCGAGTCTTTCTGTACATTAATTGCTCCTTCTTGAAGCGAACCGCCATCTTTCTGCTCATCTGCAGCATCTCACGTATCCTCATTTTGGAGGTTTCCTAAAGCCTCAAAATTCATTCGAGTAGTTAATCATTTGTTGCAGTTAGTTTAGCTTTTGCTGACGAACATCTTTATTTAGGACAACTTTCGCATTCAACTGGAAAATATGTGATAGGTTTATTATTAGGAAACTGAGGGACCTGCTTTTCATCAATAATAAGTCGAAGTCTGATTTTGTAGAAACGATGCTTCATCAAGTCGGATTTAGTGATGGAAGGGCCCAGCGCCTACCCTGAGAACGGCTTCGAATGGAGCAGTAGAATTAGGTTACTTCCTATGCATCTATGGGACAGAATCGCGTCTCATGTAGTCTGTGACAAACTCACAAGCTTTTTCGCTCATTGGGATATTGCTTGAGCCAACAGAGGTCGTCAGCTTACAATCAAGAATAGGTGTCGTCTGTATAAATTTTCATCTCTTTCGTCTTTGGTTTGCTCGAGTTCGCGCCAACAAAGTTTTCATTCGTCCACGTCGCGCTCCGGAGTGTGTAGACCAATGGATCATCCTCGTCACGTCATCAATAGATCGCATTACGTGCCCTGCCCACCTGATTTTCAATTTCTTGGCGTAATCAACGGCATCCCTGATCTTCGTTCGACGACGGAGCTCGGAACTCCGGATTCCCCTCTGCACTTGCGTGTATAGAGAAATTCCGAGCATCGTCCTTTCCGCAGCGCGTTGATTGACGCTGACTGCATGCTCGTCCTGCTTGCGTAGAGCCCAAACGTCCGAGTCTCTAAAGGCAGGAAGGAGCGCAATGTCGAAAAGAATGGCGCGGAGTTTGATGTTCTTTGTATTCTTCATTGTCTGCAGTGCAAAATGCTCCCAAAGTCGCTAATTTCCTTCTGCTCAGGTCCGTAGCAAAGTCATTCATCGTGCGATTTCTCAACCGAGGTACATGAAGATACAGCATCCAGAGATATTCCACTACTGAGACTAAGAAAAGCATCAGAAACCATTACGTCTCTTATGATTATCATCTTCGTTGGTTCAGTTGATCCTTCCGCAAACGTTGTCAAATTCGTGTAGCATTCAGTCCGATTGCTCGTGTTGTAAGCATGTCGTCCGCAGTGCGAGATGACGTAAATGTTGGCCGCCGACCTTTATTTTCATGCCTTCCCATTCCACTTGCCGCATTGTGTTCGCGAGGGTGGCATTGAATAATTTGGACATGGTATATCGCTCCGCCAAGAACCTCTCTTCACGATGGAAATCATTCCCTAGCACAATGTAAGTCCTTGTTGTAGTATAGTTGTTGTAGAGCTCACGAAGTATAGTTATGCCAGCTAAGTCTGGCACATAACGTTTGCAACAAACAAGGGGCTCATCCAACAGTGCTATGAATTTTTCGAGCTGAGCGTTACCCCACTGGAGTAGCCCCACCTTGAGAATGTTCCTCCTAGCCCGGATGACTACCCCTCATAATCTGATTGATCAGCTGACCCATTCCTGATCTTTGTAATTTCTTCCACTTTCTAAGCTCTTCTAAAATAGAATAATGCAATTTTTAATGGCACCGCTAGTTCCCATATATGCTCCACCCCTTGCAGAGTTCCCTGACCGTACTTGTGAACTACGCTTAGTTCATAAGCTCTTGTAACGAAAAACTCGAACTTATCTTGGAATTCAGCTGGAGCAGCACCACTTGGCAATAGCTGAACATCGACGAACGAACGAAGTACTCAACGAGCAACTCAAATGTCTTGAGGAGCAATCACAGAAAGCTGGTTGTGAGACTGTAGATATGATGACGCGTCTGAAGCAGCTCGAAGGAGAACTGGAATGGAAGAAAGACGAATGTAATAGTCTGCATAGACGAGCCGAAGAGGTCTGTCACACTCTATATTCTTTTATTCTCGTAGTTTTACTTACTTTCCACAACCCCTGTTGGTTTCTATTTCGGAATTCGATAAGTAATTAATTTTTGTGTTCCTATTTGCCATAGAAAGCATACTACATAGGTAAAAGATTGGAAATTAAGTAGTATAACGGTGGATTCGTCCGGGTATGGGTATATTTGTGCGATTCTAACTACGCGCGGCAAATCGCGCAGCAAAGTTCATAGCGATTTTGACCACTCTAGCGCCCCTTATTCGGGCACAAACTTGAAGTGAGTAGATTGGTGGGTTCAGTTTACCATACCCAAGTAATCTAGTTCAAGTTTGTGCCCCAATAATCGGCGTCAAAGTCGTTCAAACCGCCACGAATTTCGCCGCGTAGTATGCCGCGCGCGGTTCAAATCGCGAATGTTCGGTCCCCCGATTCGTACAGTTTGATCTGCGTCTTTCTGTGAGAACAATCCCTGTCATCGTCTCATTTCATTTTTGCAGTTGCAAGCAGCTATCGACCAGCTGGTGGAGCGAAACACTGAAACAGATGGTGAGTTCAAGAGCTAAATATCCTCTCATCATCTCGCACTGTTTTCGCTTCATACCTTTTGTCGGGATTGGTGTTGTTGCCATAAGGCCATAGGTTCGATAGCTTTTGGTTTGCTTCACGATTTCAGTTTTGAAGTTGTTCCTAGCTCGTAGAGTTTCCTCCTATTTTTCTATCGTTAGATCTGAATTTCTATGTTAGTAGCGGTGCTTTGACTCTTCAGAATCACCACTGACAGTGAACTGAGGCTTTCTCAATTTTCTTATCTCACTATTTCTTACAACTTTTATCACGAGAGCAGTAGAATGGCTTAGTGCCACTCAAAACTAAAATTTCTGCTTCTCTTGAGCGATCTGTCTGCTCCCCTTCATGTGCGACAAATTCGTCATCCTCAATGCTCTTCTGGCTAAGCCCTTCCAAAAGCTCAGGTAATACGGAATGGCTGGAAACTAAGTCCAGATAAAAAGATGAGTGCGTGCGTTCATTGAAGCTAACGCTAGTATCCTGTGTTTGGGCGGTTTGTCACACACATTCTTTTGGGCACTCCTATGCATCGCGTCATGTCTGGTTTATTTTCCGAGGCATAGCTGTGAAAGGATTTGTAAGTGGGCCCAGCAGAACGGGTAAAAATATTTTTCCTCGGGCATGACAACTATCCTGGATTTCCTACTAATTTTCTAAACATCGCTTCGCATCATACTGCAGAACCTTTCCTAGCTTTTTTTGGATGTGGCAATCGTGAATGTGGCCCAGCTTTTTAATTTTGTGTCTTCAATCACACAACTACTGCAACTCGTTCTTTACGCCGGTCACTTCGTTTTCGTTCGTGTTCGGTTAATGTCGACACCTAACTAAACCTTTTGCCCTCACGTGGAATTAGGTATCAGATCCCCCCTCCCCCCCCTCCGAATGAGC